GTCACTCCAAAATTTTTTAGACGGTAAAACCTTCACCTCAAATGAGGAGGTCAAAAACCTCCTCGATCAGTTTTTTGCCAGCAAAGACCAAAAATTTTATGAGCGTGGAATTATGCTACTACCAGAAAGATGGCAAAAGGTGTTGGACCAGAACGGTCAATATATAATTTAATAAAGTATTTGTTTATTATACGAAAACTGTCTTTCATTTCCACAAAAAAAAACGAAATGACTTTCCGAACAACCCTATATTATGGTTTTTTTAGGTTTCTACGTCTATCGTCTCGATTAATATTATTGTTATCTTCTTCTATTAATATCTTCTATCTCTCGAGGATCCGTAAAAATTATTTATTGAATAAAACGAATTCGATTAATAGGCGAGTTAAGGCACTAAATCCTAATAATTCTAAACATCTGCACAGTAATGAATAACTAAAAATTCGTTACATATTTTTCCATCAATTTTCTAGGAACTGATGAGTGTTGTTTATTGAAAAAAGTTTGTAAATCAAATACAAAAGTTCTGATTATATGTATTAGGTATTTGCGCTAATAATCCTGTATCAAACAAGCTTCAAAGCTCATCTCGTATTCGATGCATTCAAAAAATATCGTGTAGATCCATGGATTACTAACCTATTTCGAACTGAGCATTTCGGTAAACAAAATTGTTTTTTTATCAAATAAATAGGAAATATGAATTCATCACTCCTTTTATTTAATTTGCACATGTATCACATCAACGACAAATAATACGATAAAATGAGTGCTGAACGTCTTTGATAATATTGATAATATTTTGATTACCATATTCCGCATAATTTTGTTGAATTGTAGGTTATTTAGTTTAAGGCGTAGGTATTTAATCCAGCTCATACATTGAAAGCTGGCCTACTGTGAATATTAATTAATTTAATGATTTAAACTTTTTAACGTAAAATTTAATACAACCATTTATAGACCATTCGATTCTTCGAGACGTTTTTCGTTTTTATGTAATGATGCAAAAATATCGATGTCTACGGATTTCTTTGTACAAACCGAGAACTTTTTCTCTCAAAGAACATAATTACTTACTCAAGAAAATTTCTAAGCCTCTTGAGTTATATGGAACATAAAATCTACAATGGTGTAGTTCACTCTTCACCAATTAAAAAAAATGACTTCGATACTGTGTCAACCATACAATATCTCATGTTGCTGTAAGTAATTTTACAAACAAGGCGTAAACACGTCTGTAAAGAAGTATAATACATACGACATGAATGAACTGATTCTCTGTATCAGTTGCAAAAACTTATGCATTCGTTTGTTCCAGAAGTAAAGTCGCAGCAGCTCTTCTGAACAAACATTTACAAATAAATGGAATTACAGCAGGTTTGACGTTATTGCGACAATCAATGGACGCAGCTACCGAGAAAGCAGACGCAGGCTGCAGCAGTAAAATGAAAAGGGAAAGGAAAGCTGCCAGGACTTTAGGAATCATTGTCTCGGCGTTCTTAACGTGCTGGCTACCGTTTTTCCTTTGGTAAGTTTATATTTTTATCCAATGAATCAGAAAAAGAGGACAGCGAAATTTCTACTTATATTTAAGATGACTAATTAAAGTAATCCATCGCTTATAATGACTATTCATTTAATAAGTAAAACTTGTTACCAAATTCCGTAAGTTCTTCGTATTTGTTGGGTTCCTTCATTTAACTAAAAGTTTCTTTTTTGTTGTAGAGTATTTGAAGTTTAAACGTAAGGGAATATACGCGGGGGCGTTTCAAAGTTCGCGGAATGGGGGGTAAGAAGTGAAAATAAACGTACGAATTTATTTTTCCTTTTCAATATATTCATTTGCTACCCTTATACAATTTTCCGATCTTTCAAAAAACTTGCGTATACCTTCGAAAAAAAAAAAATGTGTTGTCTTTGTCTGAAAAATACGCCGAAATTTCATCCTTCATTTCTTCGTCGCTTGAAAATTTTTTCTCACGAAGACTTTTTTCAAGTTTGGAAATAGATAACAATCGCTGGGAGTTAGGTCAGGTTTGTAGGGCGAGTGAACTAAAATTTCATTATTCTGCTGTTATGGAGATACCTTCATCTTTATAATCGATCAACAGGATTCCTTCTGAGTCCCAAAGGCTGTTGCCACGATTTTCCCAGACGACTGTGACACTTTAAACTTCTTAGGTGGTGGTGTACCTTTTTTGTGCCACTGTATAGAGTCCTGTTTGGACTTAGGTTTAAATAATGAACCCAAGCTTCACCCCAGTAACAATTCAAGTCTATACTCCATCTTTATCTTCACTACAAAGGTCTAAAAACGTGCGAGAACACTCCACACGCTCTTGTTTTTGAGACGTAGTGAGCATTCTCGGCACCCATCTTGCACTGACTTTAGTCATGCCAAGATAATCCTGAAGAATTTTTAAAATGGTTGTATCTGATAATCCTACCATTTCTGTTTCTTCTTGTGTTGGGCATCTTCCAGTATTAATTTTTCGACTTTTTGAATGATTTCCGGAGTGGTCACCTCTATCGGCCGGCCTGGCCGTGAGTCGTCTTCAGGTGAGTCCCTGCCTTGCTTAAAGAGGGTATGCTACTTGCAAATCATGGTTTTACCTGGGCAAGAGTCGTAAACGGATGACATCCTTTCAAGTATGGTTTGAACCGATTTTCCTTGCTTGGTAACAAAACTTTATAAAAGCGCTGTACTCGATTTTCTTCATATTTCACAATTTCTTCCCGATTGACTTGTTTCGTAGATGATAGTTCAAAGACTAGTGACCTAATTACGATAAAACTTGGTATTTATACTAATAATCTAATACCCTGCCTACCTATTCCGCGAATCTAAAACGCACCCTCGTCCTTGTAGCATTGCAAAAGAAGGAATGTAATTGTTATGGTTTATCTCCGGATTGTGATTTCCTTCTTGGGTCCAATTGTTCAACTTTTTCAAATCATTGACAAAACTGCATAACGCTCTAAATTTGACCTTCAATATTCAGGTCAAGAATTGACCAAAAATCGCATCCCCATCAGTTATTATCAAATACACATCAAAGAGAGCATTGTTTCGATCAATTTGGTATCATTTGATTCCAGTTATGGTTAGAAATCAGTCAGTTATTTGACTTTGAAATTGCCCGTTTATTCTGCCACCCTCTGTAGACTTTAAAGTTTGCGATTCCGTCTGTGAATCCCGATGGTTACCAAAAGAAATATTCCATTCTCCACCTTTTTTGCTTCCATTTCGGTTTATTTACAATTCAATATTTCATTTCGAAAGTACGTTCTTACTTGATGAATTATTCATTTTGTTTCCAAAGACGTGGATAAACCTTTAACGCTTGTGTAACGAATGTATAT